GTTCATGTGTAAATTCCTAAAAAGAAGAAGCATTCTGAACAATACACAAAATATGCACAAAAATAATCATCAAACGCAGCAAGATTAACTTCGTCTCTTTTTTTGAAGATAAAATAAAACATAAATTGCTTCTATTAAACATAATAAAATGTTTTTTCACTAAACAAATTAAATAAATTAAGCATCACGGGAATAAAATGAATGATTTAGAAATTAGTACTTTTTAAAATAAGTTTTAACTAGCGCTTTAGTAGCTTCTCAGTCGTATGCTTCGTAATTTCATAAAAGCTCTTTTCATAGGGAATTGCACTAACATTTTCTACTGTTAAATACTTCCTCAATTTCGTTTTTATTTAAATTGAAAAAACTCGTTCGGCTGCTGCAGAGTTGTGTGGGAAACTTAAAGAACTGCGTAAAAATTTTTCTCTTGAGGAAATGATTTTTCGTTACACCATTTTGTAATTCATAAATTTTTACCAAAAAAATTACTACGTCCGCTTTTCATATCTGATATTATTTTTTGACCAGTTTGAACAACATGATTCCATTCAATATCAATATCGTCAACAAAGTCAAATATTTCCTAAGTTCAAGGAATTAATACAAAAGTAATTTGAAAAGCAGACTAAGTCTACGATTTAACCTACACTGATGATCATTTACGTATCCGATTCATTTTAATGTCAGACTTTGGGCAGAAATGTGTTAAATACTTGAAAAAAATCAGCTGGTCAAAATTTATTTTCCGCCGTTTATAAATTGTAGAATTTTTTTTACGTAAAACTTACATATATGGAAAACAAAAATTTTTTTTTCAGTTGAGTAGTATACCTTAGCCGCAAAATTAACGAAGATTTGCAAAAAGACGGAAAAAAGCTTCTAATTTAAAGAAATTAGCTAAGTATTTTGCTTTATGTTAGGAAATTTAAAAAGGGAGCACAAAAAAGTACGGAACTCTAAATAGGGTACAAAAATTCCGATCGGAGTATAACAGCAACCATGGCTCAAACTCCCACGTCATCCATATATTTTTCCGTTAAATAACGAAATTATATTTCTTTATTCAAAAAATTGCCCTGATCTGCTTTGTGAATTCAAAAATATTTAAATATTGTATCACTCTAATTTTCTCAGGATTTTGACGAGAAAAAGCAAACACTACTAGAATGAAGGTACGCATTAAATTTAGAAGAGGAAAAGGTTAAACATTGTTTTTGAACTTAATTTTGCAGTATAATATGAGTTCGGATTAGAAAGTATTTGCTTCAATGGTTGGGCATTTTACCATTACAAAAAAAATGTCTTCAAAATATATTAAAACATTTTTTGTAAGGAACATTTTGGAATAAACTTCCGAACTTAATTTCAGCTTGATAGTCTGATATATACATATTCTATTCAGCATTACTATTCTATTTTCTACGACATATTTTACCGATCGCGTTGTAGAGAATGAGAGAGATAATGTGAACGCATCAAATTTCACGAGTCGAGATTTCAGCTGGAACGCACTTCTTCGTTGAGAGATTACTTTTAAAAAGATGTGTTGATCTCTCTGTCTTTGAACTTGCGTACATCACCCCAACCAGTTTCGATAAAAATTTTTATTTGAGTTAATTTGGTAATCTGACCGATTGATTAATTTTTTGTTATAGGTCTCAACAATATTGTAATTCAGATTACTAAAATAGCTTCCGCATACGTATATAATATTATATATATGTATATACATATGTAGATAACAATGTTGTTATAAAAAATATATTTTAGGTCAACAAGATAGATTGAAAGATAACTTTAGAAATACTTACATTATATAATTTTTTTTCAAAAACATCTAGAAACATAAAATCAACATTAACTAGATAAATATAGAATTAAAATTAATTCGAATCAAACCAATGGTTTGTTAAAAAGCACTTTTCTTCTGAATAAGCCAAAATACTTTATTTTTTTAAACAACAACCTCTTGCTTAAAATATTTTTAATAACGCACAATTTTTAAGTTAAAAAATTATTGCATATATTTCAGAGAAAAATTAAAAGAAAATTATCTTTTAAAAATTAAAACTCTACTAATTTCAAGAGGTGATAACTTGGAAGGGGATGATCTATCCTTTAATTTCGCAGAGCTGTTAGGGATGAGCGGAGCAGTGTTCGCGCTATTGCGAATTTTTTCACGGGCCATTGCCCGGTTAGATATCTGGATAGGCTGGAGAAATCGGGTCCTGCCTAGTGCAGATTTTGCGGGAATGCTGATGAAACTGCCGCGTACATACTTTACAACTGTCCGGTAATGGCTGTCCGGCGGCGCAATTGTTTTGGACAAGGTTTCTTAAGTGTTTAGGAACTGCTGTCTAACTCCCTTAGTGATATCTCCGGTTTCATACTTGGAACGGGGATATTGCAGGAGGGGCGTGCGGAGGCTACAAAAAGTCGCGAATGGCTGCGGGGGCTCAGGAGATACTCCTGCCCCACTCGGTTCCCTTGAAAAAATCTACAATCTACAAATCCTAATTTTCTCTTGGACCTTACCGTTTGAGATAAACGATATCAAAAATAATTTCAACAGCCTTTTTGTCATCATAAAATTCGACAATGCCACTTCACGATAGAAGGAACAAATTTTTACTTTCTGCCTTTGTGAAATTTAAAAAGTGTTGGTAGACTTTTATTGGCATTAACTCGTAGAGAAGAGAGGTAAGTCACAATTTCCTTTAAAAGGTTAATAAGTTGTGAGCAAAGATTTATTAAAAAATAATTTCAGCTTGCTATTTTTAAGGGGTGTGTTTTGTAAAAAAAGATACGGGCGGACAGAATGAAATTTATTATTGTGCAAGAGATTTGTTGTGAAAAAGTGCTAAAAATTTTTTTCTGAAAGTTATGTACATATATCAAATAAATGTAAACTTTTCTTTTTTATTAATTTTTCCGTTTTTCTTTGCAGTTTCAACTTAAAGCTATTTTTAAAATTTTTCTTATTTCATACTTTTTTTTTGAAGTGTGTGGGTAAAAAAATTATTTTTCTTTTTTTTTTGGAAATAAAAACACATATTTGCATGTGTATATATGTTTAAATATATGTATGTAAGCATTTCTTCCAAAACGTACATATATAAATATGTACATAGAAAAATTTAGCTCGTTACCAGCTTATTAATATTGTTCTCTATTAATATAAATATATGTTTATTTAATATATTAAACAATTGCGTATTCTACATAAAAAGTCTATATAAAACATTAACCTAATGCTGATTTCGAAAAAGTAAGCTAATGTTTAAAATAACTTCACTACTTTGAAAACTAAGACGTTTTTGGTAAATATTGCATTTGCTCAAATATCAAAACTATGTAAATGAGTAAAATTTCTATATTATGTAATCAAAAGAATTGATATTTAAAATTTTCTTTATAAAAACATATAGAATATTTAATAGAAATTTAGGTTAAAATTTCTATATTGTATTTTGCTATCGTAAGAATAATATTTTTTGGATAAAAAATTAAAAATACTTTTCAAAACAAAGGATGATGTCTAAATTTGCAATATAAAAATGTATAAGTAATTACATATATGTATGTACGTAAGTATGTATTTATTATTCCTCGTGAAAAGTTATACTAACGTACTTATGCGTATGTACAAAATGTTTTTTTTATCTGCTACTGGAATTACAAAATATTATTCAAAAAAAGTAAATTGCGGTCGATTATGCTCAGACCACACCAGATATTTTTAATTATGCGAGATTTTAAAATTGTTTTTATTAAATCTGTGTTTATTTAAATACATTATTTGGTATTTTATTTCATTTGTATACCTATACATACATATGTTTATTTTAATTAGAAAAACGACATAATTATAAAAAATATTTATTATAGTTTTCTATGGTCAATACACTATTCAGGAAAAAATAATATATTAACTACATATATGAATTTAAAAAAGTGTAATGCAGCACTTCATTATTAAAGAGCGTATACATTGTAAATATATTGAACATATTTGTATATACATATTTTAATTAGATTAATGTTTAAAATTATATTAATCTATTTATTATTATAAAGCACACTTGTTAAAGTAAAAAAATTATGTTTTTTTATTTTATAATTCTTATCTTTATAAAATTTGTTTAAATTATACAGAATTATACATTAAAATTTTCCACAGTCTTGGATTTAATTAAAAACAACAAGCTATGTTTCTGCTTTTGTAAATTATCAAATTAAAATTTTGTTAATCATTACAAATTTTTATAGATGCAGGGCACATAAAGCTATTGTTTAAAATGCGTTAGTTGGTACTTACCTACGTTTTATACGTTTTTTACAAAATTATATATTTTTAAAATAATACCAATTGATTGGTGAACTTCCATACATATGTGCATTTTAAATTGTATTTGTTTTTATACGGGTTTGAACAAAGTAAAAATAAAAAGCTATTTTAGAAAAAAATAAGCATAATTCTTTTTAATTCCATGATTTTAATATTCGCACGCAAAGGATTTATGCTACACCATGTGTATATTTATGCTACACATATGTATATAAATCTCTTTTTGTATTCGCTTGGCAAGTAAGTATCACACACAAGTTAAGCTAAGTACTTATACATATGTATATTATAATATTATTCAAAAAAACAAAAGAAACGAAAACTATTTTTCAATAAATTAAACAAATTTAAAATGTTGCACACTTGTTCGATACACAATATTTTTGACAGAATTATAAAATATTGAAAACAATTTTTTACATTTTAGTTTTGATGAATACGTATGCAGTAGCATATTTTTTTTGAAATAATAAGTAATTATATAAATTTCGTTTTTTTTCTTTATTTTTTGGAAAAATTTTACAGCTTTAGTAATTTTTTTTACACGAAATGGTAAATTATTTAATTTTAAGCCGTTAAAAAAACCCAAATAACCCAAAGAAAAATAGAAGGAAAAGAACAACATCAAAATTAGTTTTAGAAATGTACGCACCTGTTTGAGTAAAGCCGGCTAGTAAGCCAATTATTAACAGCAAACATAATTTTCCCATTCTCATCAATTTTGTGTTTTCAAATTTATGAAAACACGTATTCCTATTGGAAATTAAGAAATAAAAAAAATATATATTGTATATTATGTACATACATACATATATTGTAAATAATTTATTCTTATTGCTTTTTCTTTATTATAATAAAGTTTTGAATTTATTCAAAAAACACGAATGTATGAATGAATGTAATAAAAATATAGAGTGGCTTAAATATTTATTTAAATTTTTTCTTTGAAGAAAAGCATTTGAATAGATTAAAAATGTATCACAATAGAAACGCATTAAAAAGCGTTAGACCAATAGCTAATTTTTATTGTAATTTTTTTGGTTTCGTAATTTTAATAACAAACTTTATAATTATATATATGTATGTATGTATATAATTATAAATTTATATAACCCTTATAATAAAATAAAATTTATGTTAAACAGAATAAAGTTTTTACTAAAACAAAAATTTGATATTCATGAATACGCATGTATCCGCACTTATGATAAAATAGCAAAAATAAAAAAATTACGTTATAGATTTTATAACGGTTTTTTACCGAACAAAAACAATTCCACTTCCGTACCGTTACAATCCTGAAATACGACTAATTTCAAATTTCATAAAAAGTAATTTTTGTTTTCTTATATATTTACTTTAAAAATAAATAACATCAAAATTGAGTGACTCAATACTACAACATTATGGTGGTACTACATTATTCCCTCAGTGCATTTTTTAATTTTTATTCATATTTTCTTAATTTTTATTCATATGTCAGCTTATTTTACAATTTTGAACTTCTTACATTGACGAAAACAGTTTAATGTAATTATGTAGTTTTTTAATACATCTTTCGCGGTTTATCGCACAAATCAAGCCATTAGGTTTGTTGTGTCAATTAAAAAAAATTCTATTAATTTATTAGGTTATCTATTTACAATAGGTGTGTACATCGCATACTAGCAAATTATTGTATCATGGAATATCAAACGCGATAAACTGCTTTCAGCTGCGTTACTTGCATAGTTTTTATTAGAACATAGTTTTGAACTTTTTTATTTTGAAAGGGAAAGATATGGTAGAAATTAAATGACCATATACATATGTATATACATACATACTTATATTGAATAATCAAATAGATTTCGACATTTCTTTTTTCAATTGTAAAGGAGAGTACAAGAACTTTAAAATTTTATATCGCAAAATGAATTCGAAAAAAATTAATATACATCCGCATTCTGCTAGTCCTATCGCATTCGAATATCGCTAGAAGTGACACCATCCTTAGATTTTATTCAAGTAGAAATAGGCGCGCTATTTCTGTAAAATATTTGGCGTGATAGTCACCCAAAGCTGAAGGAAGCTTCAAGGTGTTTGAACTGTTTGTGATGTGTCTCAGTACTTTATAAAATTACTTTGAAAAATAAGAAAACTATTGGTTCAAAATTTTCTTTCTTTTCTTTTATACATATGTACATACGTAACAAATATATTTTTATTAGAATCTATCAAGATTTATATACTTGATAGATTTTTTTATCACGTCAGTGACACGACTACAAGAATGTGGGTAATAGTGTGCAAGCATTTTAAGTTTTCATTTTCTTTGTTCAGATTTTTCTACACATTCAAACTAGAAAACGGATTCTATGTACCTTACACACACAGGCATACATTTACTGCATGTGTGTGTACAATATATGCGCTTTTCCTTTCCATGTACAACAGACATGGGAAGTTGGAAAATGTAGTTCAACTTTCTTTTTCTGTTATGCTTATTATTTGCCTGTGTTTATAATTCATTTCTACCAATTAAGAAAAAAATTTCCCTCACGCGATGTAATCAGATGAGTATGTGTATAGAAGTTTGGATTTTTCATTTTATTGTATTATGATCGCGATTTAATGAAAGGTCTCGACTTTGCTTTGAACTTTCTTTTGAAGGAGAAACTGTAAAATGTCTAACAAATTTGTTTTTGTAAGATTTTTTTTATACGTTTTGTAAAGTATTGCTATACTTAATGTAATTTATTTTTTAATGTTACAAAATTTAACATTTTTAGTGAATTTTAATTTTTTTATTAAGTATAGAAAATACCTTATTATAACTTATTATAATATAATTATTGTTTATTCTGCCATTATATTTAAAAAAAACTCTCTATGAGCTAGAGAACAAGTTGTAAGTAAGTATGCGATTGTTACAAAATAAAGTAAAAATTATAGTATAAATTATAAAAAAGGAGTAATAAGCCAAAAATAAAAAAAAGCACTTATTAAATTTAGTTTCTAATAAAATAAATTTATGCTTTTCTTGTGAAATAAACTAAAATAAAAGTTATTGCATAGAAGAAAAATAATTGGCAATAAACGTTGAGAAATATATTTATAGCGTCAGAGTTTAGATAGTATGCTCGGGAACCGTTATACTCGTATCTTGCATTTATGAGTGGTTGCATAGAGAACTTTATGTAATGTTTAACACGAACTTGGATATGTATATATTATAGTTCTTCGGAGGCAACTGACTGCACAATGTATTTCTTATTAAGTTTGACATTAATTTTTTTCTTACTAAGTTTATTATAACATTAATATGTATAAACATAGGTAATATTACAATAAACGGAAATAAAACTTAAGAGAATAAAGAAACATTCTAAAATGTGTATGTAACTCCCTTTTTGTAAACTTGAAAGTTATTTTGCAACAATTACGGAAAAAAAAAATAACTTACCATACAAAATCCTTTACTATTCAAATTTGAAGATTTTTCTTTGTCGCACTGCAAATTAATTTAATGAACTTACAGATATAGGAAAGTATTTAACTTATTGTCATTAACATTGTCAAGTACACTTCAATATTGAATTGCTTAATTAAATCTTTCTAACGAATCGAGTTAAGAAATTTTTGCGTGGCTGTAATTTAATGAGATGCTTATTTTCTTTGTACGGAATTCTAAAAAACATACATGCACATGTGTTATTTAACTAAATTATGTATAATAATTTATTTAATAACATAGAAACTCAAATATGAAAATTTTGAAAACTTAAATATCTAATTTTTTAAAATCAATGTACACATGTACATATGTATTTTGAATTAAAAACTTATTCCAAGAATGTACATAAGTTTATAATGTATTTATGTTTATGTGTATATTATATGTAGGCTTTGTAAATGTTGGTTCATATTTTACCATTAAAAGTTTACTTTATATTATTTTCATTCTAGTATTTATAATGTATTATTTATGTAATATCGCTTTTCTATTTCCCTATTTATTTCTCTTATAAAAATTCCTGTTGCACTGTAGGTAGAGGTTTCAAATTTGTATATTTTAATAAATATTTATATTATGTAAATTATTATTATACATTATAAGATTATGTATGTAAATTATAAAGAAATGTATTAAAAATTAATCTTGCTTGCTGAGATAAGTATAAAATTTTATTCAGATAAAAAAATGTCATTCTTCAAAAAATGTCTTAAATATAAAAAGTTTTTTGTCAAGACTTCTTATTATTGTCTATTTGATTATTTAATTTTCTAAACCATTTTTAATTTAAATATGACAATGCTTCTTCAACATCCTTTTTAGAACCAAGGAATACCGGACATCTTTCATGAATTTTTTGTGGAACAACATCCAAAATATTAACTTTCCCAGTACTTGCCATACCACCTGCTTGATTAATAATATATGCCATTGGATTACATTCATACATTAAGCGTAACTTGCCGTTTGGTGCCGATTTCGTTGCAGGGTATATGAAAATACCGCCATATTTAATGGTTCTATGAACATCAGCAACCATGCTCCCAACATAACGGGCCCCATATGTTTTGCCTTTCGAAGGATCCTTTTTGCATTGAACATAATCAAACACTCCTTTTTCCCATGTTGAGCTGTATCCTTCATTTATTGAGTATATGTTTCCTCTTTCAGGTATTGTCATATTCGCATCAGTTAAAATAAATTCACCAATTGCTGGATCATATGTAAAACCGTTAACTCCACTACCTAGACTTATGACTAATGCAGTTGCTGAACCGTATAATGCGTAACCAGCGGCCACAATTTGATTACCAGGCTGCAATGCGTCACTTAAAATTGGTGCCCCTTCAACAGATTGTCTTCTATAGATCGAAAATATTGAACCAATTGATACCAAACAATCAATATTCGAACTGCCATCTAATGGATCAAAGCATACAACATATTTTCCACTGCGTTCTGTTTCCACTTCAATAACATTTTCATTTTCCTCGGAAATCAATAAACATGTCGTGTATGAACTTTTTAACATATTTATAAAAAGTTCATTTGATAAAACATCAAGCTTTTTAACTTCTTCACCTTGAACATTTGTATCTCCGGCGATTCCATGTAATTTAGCTATACCAGCTTTTCGCACAGCTGATGCAATAGCTTTAATAGCTGTTTGAATGCAACTAAGAAGCTGTGATAGTTCACCTGTTGCGTGCTTAAATTTTCTTTGCTCATGCAAAACAAATCGTGTTAATGTCATACAATTAGAGTCAAAAACTTGTCCCTGTTGAGTCATATTTGCTATGAATTAATAAAAAATTTAAAAGTTAACAGTTTCCAAAAAAAATTTAGTTAGAGAACAAATGTATGTGAATGTAAAAATAAACAAACAAACTAATGTGATACTAGTTCAATAAACATTACAGAAATAGAAAAAGCATATTACACGAAATATTTTATTCTTTCTAGTCGAACATTTGAATTAATATATCAATGAATTTAGTTTGAAAGTTTTGAAAATTTTAACTAGTAGTCGAAAATTTTATGGGCAACACACTGCTCTAGTAATAAGGCCACCGCGTTAAAAAAATGTTCCGAATTGCTTCAATCGGGTATAATTCGATATAATTCGTATGTTTTCCTTAATTTATTTTCTATTAAAATTATTTTTTAGTTTGAAAAAAACTATTGAAGAAGTAGATCCTTTTCATTTGCTTAAAATTTTTTTTTTATTTTCGTGTATTATAAGAGAAATGAGCAATTGAAGGCATTTAATTGCTCCTTTTTTAAATTCTAAACTGAAACAGCTAACTGGAATCTTAAAAATATTTTTCTACATAATTATAGCTATGTTCTATGTTTATACAAAAATAAAACCAATATCAACAAAATATTATTTCTAAGCCATGATTTTTCTTCAATTATTCAAACTTGGAATAATTTTACAGCATATAAACAAAAACTTTAACAATGTTTTAGGAATTAAGATATACTATGATTTTCGAACTTTTTTTATCAATTATCCTATTTTCGCTGATTAAAACTGATTTTGGTGATTCTAAAATAGCACTGATTATTTAATATACCCAATATTTTCTTGGATATAAACATGTTTTTAGTAAAGTTATTTCATAAAAGGGAAATATGCTCAGAGTTTGATAAATTTACGTATGACATTTTTTTTCGTAATTTAACTTTGTACCCTTTTAACTGCGGTAGTGAGGAAGATATGTATCGCTTTTTTTCCTATAAATTTTAGGAAATATGTTTTAAAATAAAGCTTCCTTCTTTTAGCAATTTTTTTTTTGCAAACAGCAAAATAAAATTCCAAAATTTATTCATATAAAAATATTTTTAGGTTTTTTTGATGTAAATAACTTAAAACATAAAAGAACAATCATAATTTTTTTCTTTATATAAATTCTATTAAACTCTATCATTAAAAAACCATAAAAGGACACCAGGGCAGTGGACAACATTTCATTTCAAAATTACTTCACACCCTCTTTCCATATAAACTCAACGAGGGAGAAAAATTTAAAAAGGGAATGTAAACTGTGAACATTTACTTTATTTTGAAAAGGCCCTAGCTCAATAAAATCTTTTAAGTTTGTTTGTCCTTTTAATATTTTTGCAGTTATCTACATAAACTAATTTAGAAAAAATTTATAAAATTATTACTACATATTGGGTTTACACAATTTCAAAAACATACGGTTATATGTTGAATTTAACTACTTAGCCAATAAAGAAAGAAAAATTGTGGATTGCTTCACCTTTATTTTTTAAGTAAGATATAAAATACTAAATATTTTCCAAATTTTATTAGTGTGTCATAAATTTCATAACTATATCGTTATTATGATTAGATATAAAATTTTAATTTAAGATGAAACATCAATTAAAATTGAAAAATATCGCGTACGGTATAATCTTTTTTATTCCAGGATCTAAAAAAACACGTGACTTTATTAAAAATAATTAACTAATTAAAATAATTAGGTGGGTCAAACAAAACAAAAATAATCTTTTGCTTTTACACAATGATATGAAATTACACATATTTAGAATTTATCAATTAGATCTTATAAGTTAAAAGTTATTATTTTGATTAAAGTTTTAAAAAGTATGCGGTTAAACATACTTTATATAATAAGTTTGATACTTATTTATTTATTCAGTACATAATAATATACAAACATTAAAATAAATACGTATACGTATACATATATATATATAACAAAAACGTTTCAGTTGGATAAACTAATTGAATTATACCCTACACCTTACATTGTTGTATAGCAATTACTCGAACCTGTGAAACCGTTCTGTAGAAACTTTACGAATATATTTGACCTATAATTGGCCACACGACTGCCAAGTTTCATGAATCTGACTTTATTATTTTTTAAATATTTAAAATTAGCTTTTGGAATTGTATGACAGTTACCCGCATCTGTCAGGTCATTCCATAAAATTTTCGAAGATATATCTGCGTTATAATTTGACACTCATATGTAGAATGTAATTGAACATACGTCCACAAAATTTCATATTTATACCTTTATTAGCTTTCGAAATATTTAAAATAAAAATACGGTATAGCGGTGGGACTGACGGACGGACATCTAAATAAACGCTGAATTTCATGTTGACCTAAATGTATATACATATGCATATCGCAGAAGACTCCTTCAAGTGGTTACAAAGTTAAAAAACCCTTAACGAAGGTGCAGGGTATAAAAAAATGAGAAATTTTTAGTTAAGCATAATTGGCATTCCACCAAATTTAAATTTAAAATTTTAGAATATCTATTTATGTATATCGTTTAATAAACGATCGAAGATAATTTTTCCAATATGATTTCTCTTGATAATAAATTTAGTTTTACTAAAAATACACATAATATGTATTCATATTACGAATATATGTACATGTATCCACACAATAATTTTTAATATAACACATACTTTGTTACAAACAAACTGCCGGTAAGTCAAAAACACGTTTCTACATGGAATTAGCATATCAAAGACAAGGAAGGCGTTTAAAATAATATGAAAAACGTATATGTTTAAAATAATATGAAAAACGTATATTGTGATATTATTCTTCATGCCATAATTGTAACAGAAACCCTTTATTAAATTGCTGTTAGTAGCATTATGAAATATTTCATTGATAATTAATTATGAGTGTTAATGACTTTGAGAAAAAAACACAATAGCGCAAAGCTTGATTCAAAACATTGTACACCTTACAACATTTAACACTTACGATCCGATGCTGCCATTTTTATACCCTGCACTTCGTGAAGGGTATATTAACTTTGGTATGGAGTTTGTAACTACTTGAAGGAGTCATCTGCGGTATGGACATATATATATATTCTTGCTCAGCGTAAAATTCTGCGTCGATTTAGACATGTCCGTCCGTCCGTCCGTCCGTCCGTCCGTCCGTCCGTCCGTCCGTCCGTCCGTCCGTCCGATCGCACGATAACTCAAAAACGAATAATGCAATCGACACCAAACTTTCACAAGTTTTTTCTTTTGTGCCAAGGACGAACCCTATTGTTATTGGACTAAGTCGGACAACGGGTTCGGGTAGCTGCCATACAACTCCAAGAGTTTATTTTAAATATTTCAAAAACTAATAAAGGTATAAATATAAAATTTTGTATACATGTGTCCAATTATATTCTACAAATGCTCTAAAAATTATAATGGGATAGCTGAACCGGTTCGGGTGGCTGCCATACAACCCCAACAGCAAATTTCTTATATTCGGAAAAATAATAAAGTCAGATTCATGAAACTTGGCAGTCATGTGTCCAATTATAGGTCAAATATATTTCTGAAGTTTTAGAGGAATTGCTTGACAGGTTCGGGTACCTGCCATACAACTCCAGAAGCTAATTTTAAATATTTGGGAAAATAATAAAGTTAGATTCATGAAACTTGGCAGTCATGTGTCCAATTATGGGTCAAATATATTTCTGAAGTTTTGGTGGAATTACTTGACAGGTTCGAGTAGCTCCCATACAAGTCTAAAAGCTTATTTTAAATATTTGGAAAAATAATAAAGTCAAATTCATGAGACTTGGCAGTCGTGTGTCCAATTGTAGGTCAGACATATTTCTAAAGTTTTGGTGGGATTGCTTGACAGGTTCGAGTAGCTCGCATACAAGTCTAAAAGCTTATTCTTAATATTTGGAAAAATAATAAAGTCAGATTCATGAAACTTGGCAGTTGTGTGTCCAATTATAGATCAGATATATTTGTGAAGTTTTGGTGGAATTGCTTGGCAGGTTCGGGTACTTACCATACAACTCCACAAGCTAATTTTAAATATTTGGAAAAATTATAAAGTCAGATTCATGAAACTTGGCAGTCGGATGTCTAATTATAGGTCAGACATGTCCGTGAAGTTTCTATAGAATGATTTCACAGGTTCGAGTAATTGCTACACAATAACGAAAGGTGCAGGGTATAATTCAATCGGTTTATACCGACTGAAACGTTTTTACTTGTTTTAGTTTTTTTTTAATTTATTCAGTTATTCGAGAAGTAAGTTCTTTTCTGTAATTGATAATTAGGTAAGGTATTATTACATTTTATTTAAGATAATATCTGCTGATATTTCCTATTAAAAACATATATATGTATATATGTATGTATGTCCACATACTTACCTATGCTACTTAATATAAAATGTAAGCTATTATTTAATATAAAAGAATTTATTAAAGTAGTAAATTTTAAGAAACAAAAAATTAAAAAAAGTGTGAACAAAACTGATAAAGATTTTTTTAATGATAACCTTAAATACACAAAATATCATTTTTGTTATGGTGGGAAAACAACGTCATAATATTATTATAAAACAAGTCTGTATACAGAAAAATAAAAATTCAAAAAACCAAATATTCTAAAATTTTAATTAGACAATTTTAAAAATGTGCAGTTTTTATAATAACCTAGTTGCTTCACAAAACAAATATTAAATCTTAACTCACTTAACTTATTATTTATTTAACATAAAGTTTGTTTCGCGAGTATCTTGGAGAAAAAATTGTTATGTATTTGATTATACGAGTATGTTTATAGTATGAAATAGGGAACTAGTGCAAAAACAACATTTAAAATTGATTTAAAAGAAATTTTCCGCGGCAAATAATTTTAGGGGTGATTTTTTGATCAATTTTCTGCAAAAAATTGCATTGATGGGCATGTTTTTAAATACATTTAACACGTTTTATTGGAAACTGAGAGATAGAGAAAAATATTATACCTATGGGTTAACTTTTGGATATCAACACAGAGCATAAAAAAAAACAAAAATTAAAAAAAATTACAAAAATTTTCGAAGAATGTCGAGTTTTATAAAAATTTCAAAAAAAAAAAAAATTCCGACTTTGACGTGCTGCATCTCGAAAACTATGGCTCAAATCAAATTAATTTTAAGACCAAAAATAAAGAACAATCAATAACCTACAAAGCAAGCTTCTAATGATAACTCTATTTTTTTGTCCCGAAGTTATAAACATGTGTTTATACGCAGGAAAAGCCCGATACCTCTATTTAACAGGCAAAGACAAGTAACTTCAACCCCCCCCTCCCTTCAACTAACAACTTTTTGTTGCGAATTGATTAAGGAATCATTCCTGAAATTATTTGTCGCCTTATGTAAAACACTCTGTATATAAAATTTCTATGAATATAATGTGAAAGTATAAACATTCAATAAATTCCGCAATTTGACAACACAGAACTTGTTTACAAAAATTTCCAACTTTTGTTTTTTAACATGCAAGACTTCCAGTTTTGTTTTTTTTTGGCTAAATGTGTTTGTTTACGTATTGTGGTGTGAGTACAAGTATAATAATAATTTAACTAATGCCATTTATAGCTATCAAGCCACCAAGCTAAAATTATTTTCCGAAATTTTGTATCGGAAAAAAGTACAAAAACAATTCTTAATGTTTTGTGTTTTCAAAGTATGCCGATTGAAAAAATTTTCTATTTTTTTGTAAACTTGAGTATTCTTTATGATTCTCATTTTTTACTTTCTTCTTTAATTTCTTTTTAAATTCTATTTCTTATTCAAAAATTTTACTCTGTAATTCAATATCCATTGAGCTAGAATATTGTCTGAGCTAGAAATTACCAACCGATTTTTTTTAAATTAAAATTTTAAATTTAGAAAAATATGAAGAATCGGTAGAGCCAAAAATATTGATCAATTTACTTCACACAAATAAATCCCGACACCTCTTCCATTTAAGCTCCATATAAATTTGGAATTTATTTCTGATTTGCTCTCTGAGCTTGGTGGCCTGATAGATATATATGGAATTAATTTAAATAATTTATATTTAATAATGTGTTAGTATTTTTATGAAGTTTTTGTAATACATACATATGTAGGTAGGCACATAGCATTTTATATTTTTAATATTATTAAAAACTATAATTGAAATAATATTTTTATTGAAAGGTTAGGTTTTCATTGAATTTTATGTTTTTATAAGGAATTTTCTATTAAAAATTATTGTTTTTTTTTTGACTGGTAGAGAATATTTTTCCGCATTAATTTTAGTATGTATGTTAAGGGAAAACACTGATAGCACAAATATTTGTTTGATTTTCTTTTTACAGAGTTTGAATTATTTACACACATATACATACATACATATGTATGTATATACATATATGATATACGTATGTATATGACAACCACAAATAGAATAAAAAAAAAATTCTAAAATTTTACTTACTTATTTATTGTAGATTGTTATGAATTTGTAAATAAAATATTTACTAACAAATTTTAATTCTACAGTACTAAATTGATGATAGCTCAATGACAAAAGCAGAAAGAGCAACAGAAAAGTCAACAACGATCTTGGTGGATTGAACACGTACTGACTTATAATGATTTTTAGCGAGAATAGAAAAGTTATTCAACTATCACAAAAAAATTCAATAGAAAGAAAAGTACATACATATGTACGTATTGTCATACTCATAATGATAAGTAAAGAGGGAAAGAGAAAAAAGCACACGTGAAGAAGCGAAATAAAATAAATAAAAAAACACACAAAATCGATTACGCCAATTTTGGGATATCCGTAGGACCAAAATTTATGAAGTTGCTAGATCTCTCATGAACGCAATAAACGAGTTTCTTATAAATTTTTTTTCTAAATTTATTTTAAAACAATCTTTGATTTCTTTGATTTCGAAACATGGGGCTTGTTTGAATAATATGGTTTTTATGTATGTATATAAATATATGTATACGTTCCCTTGCTCGATTCGCCAACACAAAATGGGTAAATTCATTAAATCTTCAAGATAGTTATATAAGTTAGCTATTATTTACATATGTAAGTTAGCTGTACAGATATTTACATAAGTTAGCTTAAGTTAGCTATTAAAGTTGTACGATGTAGTTCGAATCACATTTTATATGTATATAATTATTGTGAAGGACAACTACATGTGGTGAACCCATTCGGAATTTTACATCAATGTGTAATAAATATAGTTACAAATTTATAATGTGTATTTAAGTACACCAAACAAACTTGCTTTAAACAAATGTGTGTATTTTTTGATCGAGTTTTTATTTCTTGCTTTTCTCTCATACTAGTCTTTTTTAAGTAATGTTGATAATAAACTCGTTTTCACTTTGATGTTAATATTTTCTTTCTCTTATCATATTCATAACATAATACATGAAAATATGTTTTATAAATAATGAAACATATTACGTATTATGTACATATATACGTACACACAGTAATATTAAGTACAACTATAATGAGTATATAAAAATAAAAAAGATCATCTTTAACATTCGAATTTTATAGGCATACTAAAAATATCAAACAATAATTGTCCAAAATTTTTAAGTCATTTTCTTTTAGATTACAAATTAGGGTTGGGAATTAATAGGTAGCTCATTGGATCAGCAGTTATAAAATTTAATTTTAATTGCTTGTTTTTAATTAGAAAAGAAGTGAAATGTAATTTGGTAAACACCCATATGAGAAATTATAGTTATTTTTCGTTCCGTATTTTTATGTACATCATCAGGCATATAAATATGTAACAGATGTTTTAAATTTTTAAAGGAATCGAATAGAACTCCACCTGTACTATGAAGAATAGTTATTATGCGTTTCAAAGAATGATATTATTAACATGAAGTGATTTGATAACATTTGATGTTTCAGAGCGAGTGATAAATTTGAACACTTTTATTAATTGCAAAAATGTTTCGCTGCTTTTTATACTTTAATTACAAATGAAGGCCGAATCCAGCCTGAACCAGACAGATAAGGCTAAGCTGGAAAAGGCACCCAATAGAAGAGTAACAGCCGCACAAAATCAGTCTCAGAATATTTCCGCGCCAGTTCATCGGCCAACTCATTGCTCTCATACCCATTTATAATTTAAATACATATATTATAGCCTATTTCGATTTATATTTTTCTTTTTCGTTTAGCGAGTAAAACGAAAATAAATGTTCTGTATGTATGTACATATATGTACTACAATATTCGTACATAACGCTATGACGTATGTAATAAAGCTTTTTATTTTTAATATCTATGGTCAAATCCGACATCTTTAACTAACAAGTTTTATATCTATGAATATTAAAACAAAGCAAAGAAATTTTGTTTTTTATTTTAATGTTAATTTTTTTTTTATTGTTTTCCAAAATTGTTAATAGATATTATAGATTTACAATGAAAGTATAAAAAGATGCCGGAATATTTTCGAAATTAATAAAATTGTTCAAATTGAAAGTCGTTCTGAGAGTTACTTCAAATGTTATCAAATTACTTCACGGTTTTTTTTTTCCGTTTGGAATCGAGGCCCTATCGAGGTCACAAAGACATTTCCGAAGCATCTTAGTCGTAGTCTCACATTCACACAATAAAAGAACCACGTTTCGTTCTTTTCCAGGCAGGGATGGCAGATCTCACACTCTTGCCAATCGTTCTCAAATGGATTATCGAGAGACAATGTGCAGTTAGTACACACACGAAAAGCCGCAAATCTGGTCGACCAACTGTAGCCAATTTCCATCTCCTCGGTTCCAATCATTCAGGTAGTGCAACACCGTTGTTTTCAGCATCTCAAAGCATGACTTCGGCTCAATGTAAGGAGTTGTTGCTCGCCTTCGGGTGAAACCATAAACTTCCGTCTATGACAGTTTGAATCTCACTAAATCAAACGAGAGGGTCCCAAAAACGATCCGATATAGTAAAAATTTCACTCTTCACGGGGTTCCTTCCGATACATTCCAGAGCACACAATTTAATAGCATATGTCTCAGAATGAAATATTGATGGATAGTGTCCGAGGTCCCTTGTGATATTTACGCTCCTTTAAGACGAACATTAAACGGGGCCATATTCTTTAAAGGAGCATGCCCGGGCTTCTAAGTAAGTCTAAGATTCCATGTCCTCCCATACAGCCTTGTTAAAACTCATAGAGCCCAAATGACTCTAGCGATGACTCCCTTAAAATGAGGCTTCGACTTTGGTGTAGAGTAAAAATGTGAGATTTGAAAATTTTCAAATCTGCTACAAATTAATTCTTTTTATTTTCCATAAAACTGATAATTATTATAATCTTTTGTAAAATATTTTAATTTTTAAATTAATTTTTCCACTGTAATTCTATCCTTTGTTTTTTATATCCCACAAAACTTCTTACTAAGTAACAGTATATATATATTGTATTTTATATATCAATCATAAATTTCTTCTCAAATCTAAATTAACCAATTATCACAATCTTGGTTAAATCATATAGTATATAACAATGACAAAAATATAGCTAGACCTGTTGTCAAAACTAGAATGCTATTAGTGGTAAAAGACGGTGAATTATTACAATAGTTCTCTGCACAAATGTCGCAGTTGATAACATTTTCAATAGATGAACCATCTTCGTTTAGAATACGATTGCATTTGTCTTTAGAGCTGTCTTTTCCAAAAAAGCATGATCGTATTACACTTCCGTCTAGAAGTAATAAACACAAATACCATTATAAATATTTATTGTCAAAGTTAAATTTATTGACAAACTCACTCTTCTGTATTATCCTCATACATCCTCGGATGATTTGACTTCTAGATGCAAGATTAGTTCGAAATTGTTGTTCACAATCTTCACTTTGAATATTATCTGGTATGAAATATTGGCCACAGTTATTGTTAGTAGAAGATTTACACTTCCAACAATGCATAGAGTTTGCTATATTACAAAGAAGAATTTTAGTTAGAATAAGAATGTTAAAGTAAATTTTAAAGAAATAGGCCGCAACCCAAAAACATATTTATAGGTTGTTTGATTCTGCAATTAATATGGTATTGCTGCAATTAATTGAAAAAATGTTGCGATATCTATTCATGTATATATGTATATAACAAAAGCGTTCAATATAATCATCTTGAGACATATTGCTTTTGCTTTTCAATGGTTTTGTTATTTTTATGTAAATATGCGCCTTTTTTGTAATATGCATCCAACTTAAACTTCCGAAAAATTGAAATATTAACACAATTATGATGAATTTCTTAACATCTTATGATGATTTTAGAGTTTCTAATATTAAAAGTGCATATTATGTAGGTAAGTCTATATTGAAGTTTCCTACTTTTCTTGATATTCTATAAAATCGGAAATAGAATCGAACGTTACATATAAAACAGAGTTTCAACGAAAGAGGAATTCACATTGAAAGAATTAACAGACCAACAAAGTAATTTCGAAAGAACAGATAACACTTTTGGCTTAAAAAATATCCTGAGGAAACTAATATGAGAAACACAATAAAAAGATATATACTTATCTTTACATCTACAGCAAGAGCATTTGAAAGTCGAAAACTTTAATAACTAATAATTTGTCTCATTTATAAATATATTTTATTAAAATTTGAAATCACAACATTGAATTCCAAGTCAATATAATAAGCTGTAAACGTTGACCTGTTCTTTTATCGAGATGTAAAAAATAATTTCAGAAAATTTAAAACTAGAATAATCTACGATGTACGAAACAAGTATACCTAATGTAAATACATTTTTTTTTTTTTTTTTCCTTTGTTCACTCCTAGAAGGAGCATAGGGCTAGTGCATGATTTTTCATGCACTAGTTTCATAGCGTCATAGGGTTTTAACTAGGTAGGTGACTAGCCTGCCGTAGTTTTTATTTATATATTAATTATTTGAGGTTATTAATATTTACTATTTATTTTTCTTAATTTTTTTTTTTTTTTTTAATATCGAATATTAGGAATATTTGAAAATTAGTTGTATAATATTTTTATTAGTATTGTATATTAAGTTATAATAATATTGAATTTAATTTTTATAGTGACCTGAAAATTATATTCAATATTATTATAACTTAATATACAATGTAAATACATGATTTTGCTTTTTAATGTTGACAAAAAATGCATGGAATGTAAGCAATTTGACATTCTTTATTTATTTGGAAAACAAAAATATTTTTCATCTTTCTGTTGCGTCAAACTAATGGTTTGTAATGTAGCACTTTTACTTTCATACTGCTTTCAAAAACAATCCAGCTATGCACTACTTTGTTAAAATTACTTTCATTCATATTTTATTTATTTATTATTTATTTATTTATGTTTAGCTCAAACATTTTACATAACTTAAAATTAAAGAATGAATATACAGATACATCTTTTTAAGACAGAACAAATTTTTGACTTAAATATTAAATTTAAAATTATACAAAATAAAACTTATTAGTAATAATAATATTCCATTAAATATGAATAAAGACAGTGAAAAGCTAAAACAAGAATTTGTTAAAATAAAGCAAAGGGTTATACTTATCTATAAGTAAATAGAAGCTTTTTCATCGTGTCTTTCTTCAGTGAAAAGTCAAGTCTGTGTTTGTGTTTGTTGCATAAACGCAGCATTCTGCTGACAGGTACATATTACCCATAATTGCTCCTATGAAAAGGAACCATGAAAATATCCGGGGAACGAGACCTAAGGTTGGAATTAATCACAATTTTATTTAAAATGTCGGGGGAGATTAAGTCAGTTTTCATAAGCTGAAAAATGAATAACAAATCCGCGACGTCACGTCTTTTACCCAGTGTGGGTAGGTCAATTAATTTGAGTCTGTGCTCGTAAAGTGGAAGAATGATGGGGTCCTCCCAAGGAAGAAGGCGCAGTGCGAACCTCAAAAAATTTCTTTGAATAGACTCAATCCTATTAATATGTATATCGTAATAGGGTGACCATACTTGTGAAGCATATTACAGATGTGGACGGACCAGGCATGTGTAGAGTGATTTTAAAACATAAGGATCATTAAACTCCTTTGACCAGCGTTTAATGAAACCTAACATCGAGCTTGATCTGCATATGATATAATTTTAGTGGTTTATAAATGATAACTTGCTATCGAAGCAAACACCCAGGTCCATTATTGAATCCACTCGACTAAGAGCTTGGCCATTCAAAGTATAGTTTGTAAAAAATGGCCGTTTTTGCCTAGAGTAGCACATTTGTTATTTTGATTTTTAGGTTGTCACTTGAGCACCAGGCCGTAGAAGCGGTTAAGATCATTATTAAGATCTGAAGACACAACGCATCATTTGTAGAGCTTATTTTTTTAAAAATTTTCATGTTATCAGCATATATTAATACCTCACTGTGCTTTAGCATGGAAACAACATCATTAATTGAAATTATGAACAGCAATGGACCTAAGTGACTACCCTGGGGTACACCAGAATTAGACGAAAGAGGCGAGGAAATTGCTGAACGAAAGAGGACTCTGTAAGTCCTGCCAGAGAGATATGACTTTATCCATGCTAAGAAATTGTCAGGGAATCCTAAGAGTTTCAATTTTAAAATAATAATTTCATGTGGTATTATGTCAAAGGCTTTGCTAAAGTCTGTGTAAATTACGTCCGTCTGATATCCATTTTCCATATTATTTGAGAAAACTGTCGTGGCTTCCACTAGATTAGTCACCGTGGATTTCTTTTTCAAGAAGCCATGCTGACGCGCACTAATGGAAATAAATATTGTCATATACCATCAACTCAAAAACCTTAGGAATTGCCGACAGTTCAGCTATAGGACGATAGTTTGACACGCCATCTTAATTGCTTTTCTTATGGTTTGGCCTAATAAAAGCTTTCTTCCACACAGACGGGAAAATACCCGAAGAATAAGACTTATTAAAAATTAAGGTTAAGATGGGCGCCAGAGAAGAGCAGCACCTGCTTAAAATAATCTCAGGAACTCCATCTGGTCCAGGAGAAGGACTAGAACCCAAATTAGAAAGATATTTTTCAATCGCAAAAGAGTTCGTGACAAAATTTGTAAAGGTAGTTTTAGAATAGTTATCAATGTGCCGAAAGTTGTCGAAATTTAATTGAAAAGATAAAAAAGAGTAAGATTCGGCAAAAAAGTTACAAAAATTCGGAAATAATTTGGAAATTATTACTTGTATTCCCGCCGAATTTCAAGAAGGTTGGATAACTATCACTTTTCCTCTTATGGTTTATGAACTTCCAAAAGACTTTGGGATTGCGTATTAATTTATCCGAAGTTTTATAAATATAGTAGTCGTAACGTTCTTTTGCTGCTAATTTAAATTGATCATACGGTAATCGGAAATTATCATAGTCCCTGTCGCCTTTGTAGATTGTAGATTCTAAGGGAACCGAGTGGGGCAGGAGCATCCCCCCAAGCCACCGCAGCCATTTTTGACTTATTGTAGCCACCCCACTCTCCCGTCTATAATATCCCCGTCCCAATTACAAAGCCGGAGATATCCCTAAGGGAGTTGGACAACAGTTCCCGAACACTTAGGGACCCATGTCCAAGACAATTGCGGCGCCGAACAGCCAGTGCCGGACAGTCGCAGAGAATGTGCACGGCGGTCTCATCGCCACCCCCACAAAATCTGCACAGGGGGGAGCTCGACTTCCCCAGCCTATGCAGGTGGTACTTCACCGGGCAGTGCCCCGTGAAGAAATTCGCAATAGTGCGAACCCGGCTCCTGCTCATCCCCAGCAACTCCGCGGCGAATCCGCCGGAGCACGCCGGAAGAAACACTTTCGCATGACGGCACCCTTTCGTGTCCCGCCAGTGACGGCCGCATTCCGCCGCGAGTAGGCAGGCAAGCCTGGCCCCCACGGCGGAAGAAGGCAGACCGCAGTAAGGCAGCGGCTGCACAAAGGCAGCCCCAGATCCCCTCCGCGCCAACTCATCGGCAACTTCGTTGCCCGCATGACCACTATGGCCCGGCACCCAAATGAGCATCACTCTGTTCTCCGATGCCAATTCCCTAAGTGCAGCAAGGCAGCTCCAAACCAGCTTGGATGTAACCTGAGCTGAACGGAGCGCCAGCAGTGCAGCCCTGCTGTCTGAGAACACATAGATGGTGCGGTTTCTATACCCCCTTTCCAAATTGATTCTCAGACAGATCTCTATTGCATGTATTTCGGCCTGGAACACTGTGCAATACGGGTCAAGGGTTGCATATATACGCGTGTCCGGGCAGACACCGTATACGCCCGAACCCACACCCGACTCCGTTTTGGACCCGTCCGCATACCACACGCTCGAACCCGACCTAAGTACCGGACCACCCCGATCCCACGTCCATCGATCGGGAAACAGAACCCTGTACCTGTGGTCGAAGTTGTACCGCGGCAGACAGGTATCTGACATAGTTATTCTTAGAATCGGATCGCCCTCAATGAAGTCTCAGTGAGTTCTGTGGGCCAACTTTAGCCCTGCCCCGTCCTCGCCAGAGAGAAGTCGGTAAGTCACCAGCCGAGCTTCCTTCAATATATGGAGGTGCAGTGGCGGCAATCCGATCATCACCTCCAATACAGCGGTGGGAGCCGTCCGCATCGCCCCGGTCACTCCCAGGCAGGCCAGCCTCTGTAGCTTTTCCAGCTTGGCCCGCACACCCGCCTGCTGAGCCTTACGGCACCATACAATCGACACATAGGTGACGATGGGCCTAGCAAGGGCCGTATATAGCCACAGTGCTATTCTGGGACTAATTCCCCAGGTCCCCCCGATGAAGCTCCTACACGTCCACAAGGCCGCCGTAGCTCTCCCGATAACTCTATCGATATGGGTATTCCAAGAGAGACGATCATCCAGGGTTACCCCCAGATACTTCACCTTCCTCGAGTAACTAATACGTGCACCAAACAGAATTGGGCTCGTTAATCT